AGAACACGTTTATTTAAGAGCAAAACTAAGGTTAACTTAGTAAAAAGAAAAGTTATTAGCTGTTTTTTAGATAATTAAATTATAGAAAATTTGTGTACAGATGATAAACCTTTATAATAATAGTTTAAATTTTTATGTATTATCAAATTAAAGTAAAATTTAATATCTTCAATATTAAGTTTTGTATCAAAAGCTATAAGAAGTAAAAACAATAAGTTAAATATTAATATTTATTTAAATATAAAACAATTTTATAGCAACTTTTTATAACAAATAAAAAATAACTTTAAACAATAAATTATTCAATAATGTTACAATATAATTTTTGACTTGTTTTTTGATTTTAAGCAAAATTTTTAAAATAAATAAATGTTTTGCCAGATTATATATAAAATAAATATGTATAAAATTATAAATAGCAAAATTATTTTAATACTACATAATTCCAAAATCTAATTTACTTAAAAATATTATTATTATTTTTTTTTTGTTATTAAGATAAGACTCTGATTATATTTTTATTAAATAATTTATACAAGTAATTATATAGACTATATATAACAACTTTATTTGTATAGTAACAAAAAATATAAATTATATAAGCTCAGACTAAAAACTTAACTTGAGGCTCAAGTTAGTTATCTGCAATCTAAACCTACTAGAGTAGCCAAAACTCACCTAAATTTAATAATAAGCTAAATATTAAAAACCTTAATGATATTAAGAAATATGTATTAAATTGGCTAGTAATTAAATTTAAAGTATTCAAAAGATTTGAAAAAGATATATAGAAGTTTGTAATATTTAGATATAGTTAATTGGAAGTCTGTAAATATATTAACTTTGGCATTGCAGAGTAGCGTAGCAATAGCTAATAGGATTGCAACTAGCTTAGTTTTGTATAATGAAGGCTAGTTAAAGATTTTAGTAAAGAAGCTATTGCAGATTTGGTTGTAGTTTGTTTGAATCTAGTCTATTCTCATAGAACAATTGCTAGTACCTATGTTTGTTACTGAGCTATCTATATAGAATATAAATATTAGTATATAAATATTGCTAAGAATATATTGTGTTAGTGTCTAGCATGCTATATTATTATAAAAAGAGTTGGGGCTAAGAAATTTATAATATTTATATTAGGTAGAGATAGAATATTAATAGGGTGTTTGATTGCTATAGAGTATAAAAAATCTATATAGTTAGCATTGAGTTTAAGTTTTTATTAGCTATTCTTTTGCCAAAAAACTGTGTAGATAGTATGATAGAGACTTCAAGTATATAGTAATTGGCAAGGTGGTTGGAATTAATATTGTATCTAAAGCATAAGCTGTATATAATAGAAGGTAGAGGGTATGGTAAGTAGTGCCCTGTATTTATATTGTGTTGCCAGTATATAATAGAAACTATATTGGTTTGTTTGAAGTTTTTTTTATTTGATCTATGATAATTTTGTCTTGTTAATAGGTAAGTATCTATAATTTTAATCTTTTTGAAACAGTATTAGACTGATATACAAAAAGGTTAATACTTGATGGTTGGTGTTGTATATATATTGCTCAATGTTGTGGGTTGTTTAGTATAGTATCTTCTAAAAATAAGAACTAGCCTATTTTTTTCACTTTAAAAAGATATAAGAGTCTGGGTAAGATGTGTTGCCATTCAAATAGATGTTTATTGTCTGCTGAGCTAAGCTGTTCCATGTTTGTTTCGGAGCTGTTGTTTGAATATGCTATATTTGAGGCATAATTTAGGCTGGAATTCATAATTTCACCCCTGCGCAATACGGTAGTTCTACATAAAAATTCTATATAATTCTATATAAAAACAATTTTGTGATATACATGTTCGAAGTTGCAGACATTAGAATATCAACTATATGAATTTAAGTAAGTGTAAAGTCACTTAACAATTTATATAAATTTATGCTACTTTTTTGTATAGTATTACCGAAGGTCCGTAGAATGCATAAATATTTGTAAGATATTATGTAAAGTCGCATAAGATTATGTATATTTATGTAGCAATTTACCTAGTAATTTTATAAAAAAAAAGTTTGTAATGTTTATAGAGCTATTTAAATTTTATATAAAACAACTTTGCGATGTAGTCAGCTGTTTTCTTTTTTTTTTGCTTGCTACGTTAGGGTGTTTAATACTCCAATAAATCAAACAATAGTGAGAGTATATACATTCAGATTTTTTAAAGATTGATTTCACATTCGAATTTATAATGAATTTGTGCTAATTTAGGTTGTTGTTGTTTTTTTACCTAACGCCAAAATTGCATCGTATTTTGTAATAGAGTTAGGTATAAAAAAAATAGCTGCTCGATACGTAAGTATCGAGGCAGCTTTTGTCTCGAATCTACTCACCTGATCAAACATGTGACAAGCCCATTTACGGTCACATGTTTGATTGTTTAATCGATCCTAAGCATGTAGTGCTTATGTGTTTAGTATGTTGTAATTAGTTTTCAATCAGTAATGTGAACATAGTTTAGGTAATTTAGTATCTTCAGCATGTATGTAATAATTGGGTAAGTATGAGATAACTGAGTAAGTACGTGTGAGAAAGTATGAGGTAATGGGATCATAGTATTTTAGTAAGTGTGAGAAATTGATGTAAGTTAATTTTGTCTTTTCTGCGAACCCAACTTTCGTTCTGGTTACATCGAGCAAATATTTTTTTTCTGCTATTTTTTCGCTATTTTGCTACTATTTTCCGTTTAACATGAGTGGTAATTCTGAAAAGGGCAAATCTGTTACGGTGGAAGACGAATTTGCAATGCCGTCGAATAGTGATACCGAGCCGTTACGTGGTCAGGTTAATTTTGAAGCAAATTTTGGCCAGTTATCCTTGGAAATGTTAAAATTTTTGTGCCTTGGAATGGGCATTTCCGATGTGGGTGTAAAGCAAGACCTGATTAATAGATTGGTTAGTGAGTGTAAACATAGAGAGTAGTCCTCTAGTGAATTATTGGGGAGAGGCAAAGCTGTTAATGTTGATAAGGATACAAGTAGTTTTGGTGCTTCTTTTCTCCCTTGTAACCCTGGCCTTTCGTTTAACCCTGAGCACCAATCTAATGGTGAGCATAACTCTACAGATTTTGGCGCAGAGAATTTGGGAGCAGGACTGTCTAATGCTGATCAATTTCTCCTTCGAAGGATAGGACCACATGTGATTGGAGCAATGAGAATGCAGGTCTTTGAAAAAAGTGCAATCTGTCTAAAGCCAGAAACCAATGGGAGTTCAATGAGTGGTGCAGGACAGGCACTTTGTTGGATAAAGCTTTGAGCACAGGTGATATCGACTATTTGATGCTAGCTAGGCAGGTGGCGTTGGAAAGGGCATATGTGGTTAGAGTTGCCGATGAAGATAGTTGGGGTGTTGTAGCGAAGATGGTGTCAGATGATGCTTTGGATCCCATGTTCCAGCTGTTTGGTGGCAAGTGGGAGAAAGCCAGATTGGCAACCCAGTCATTTCTGAGAAGTAAGAAACCTAGGTTTTCTATAGAAAAGGTCAAACTAGGGGTAGGCAGTATGGGAATGTGCAGGATTTGTTTCCTAATTTTTACATAGGCCAGCCTATTCCACCCACGTTTGTACAAGCCCAACCTTATACCCACCCAACCTGGTAACAGTTTCCTAATCAGCAAGGGTTGTTTCCAACTTCGCCAGTTGCAGGAAATACTCCTATGAACCCTATTTTTACAGGGCAGCAAGCAGCTCAGGAAATGTCTTCTCATAATTTAACACCTGAGATGCAATTTTCTCAACATAAATATCGGGCTTCCCCATCATTTGGATTTAAGAATCCTAATCTGGGCAAGAGGTATAATGCGGCATGAGAGGTTGTTTGTTTTTTATGTGAAGAGAAAGAACATTATGCCAATGAATGTGGTTCTAAAAAGCACTTTGGCATGCCCTTTCGAGGAGATAATTCAAAACAAAGAAGAGCTTGACAACACTCGGGGGGTAATAAACAACAAAAGGCAGATTGTTTCCGATGGTCTGTATGTAACGGGCAGGTTGCATTCGGATGCAGCAGTCAGATATTGGAGAGATGTAATAAAACCTGCACCATTGGTAATGGAATGGCTAGAGAAGATGATTCCTCTTTTTCCAAAAGGAGTTATGAGTTTAGTGTTGAAACCACTACCAAAGCCTCGGTTATTTACTACGGAAGAAAGGGAATAGATAGAGAAAGAATTGGAACGTTTAAAGAGGGCAGGTGCTATCAGAAAAGTTGCAGAAGGGGAAATGAGGCCAGAGTTGTTGTTGGAGATAAGCCCTGTCTTTGTAGTTTCCAAGCAGGGTCCAAAGAAATTCAGGTTGGTTATAAACCTCAGAAGATTAAACAAAACCTTGCCTCTAAAATCCTTCAAATTTGAAGGTTTAGGTTCCGTATTAAGAACAGTAGGCAGAAATTGGTGGGTCCTAACTTTCGACTTGAAAGAGAGTTATCACCACATCTTAATGGACGATTTAGCTCAACGTTTCCTGGGTTTCTGTTTCAGAGGAAAGTAGTATCATTACAAGGTGCTGCCATTTAGTCTAAGCCAGTCACCTTGGATTTTTGCCAAGGTAATGAAAGCAATAGTTGGAAGCTGGAGGTCGAGAGAAATCTTTTGTGGAAACTATCTAGACGATATCTGGGTAGCACACCCATCGAAGGATGTTTTGTTGGAGCAGCGGGAGTTGGTTGTAAAAAGAGACTTGGAGGGTTGTGGGTGGATTCGGGTAGAAGAAAAAGGCAGTTGGACCCAGTACAAAATCCAAAATTTTGCGGTCTTATTATAGACACAGCAGAAGGTTTAGTACTTGCCCCGGAGAAAAAAATTGTAGCTACTATCTTTCAACTGGAAGCATTGCTAGAGGTACCAAGAGTTTTAGCACGGATGTTGGCCTCGGTTACAGGCAAGATTCAGAGCCTGGCAAGAGCTTTTTCTCCAGCTCGAGTGAAAAGTCTCGAGTTCTACAGGTTGATAGATGCAAGGAATCATTGTTGGAACAATTGGGACACAAGTGTTATTTTGTTGTCACAAGCAGTGGAGGATGTTCAGTGGCTGGTGGAAAACTTAAGAAGTTGGAACGGGCATCCAGCATAGAAACCCTCCAAAATAAAAGTAGTTTTTGTAGATGCATCAGTAGTTGGTTGGTGTGGAGTTTACCAAGGGCTAGTAGCTGCAGGAAATTGGACATGCAGGTTAACAGCAAATGTTATAGCTCAACTCGAAGCTATTGCGGTGCTTCGAGTCCTGCAGTCTTTTGAAGAACAATTAAAGGGTTCATGGGTGTTACTAGTAATAGACAACAAGGTGGCTCTAAAGTCAGTAGTAGATGGGGGGCCAATGCAATGGCAGAAAGATATTGCCAGAGAAATCTGGAAAGTTTGTTTGGAGAAGGATATAGAGATCTACCATACAAGGTGGGTTCCGAGTGCGTGGAATTGAGCAGACGAGTTTACAAGAGTTTTGGATTTTGGGGATTGGGAGTTAAATGCAAGTATAATAGATCACTTGTAGAGGCGTTAGGGAGAGTTCGACATCGACAGATTTGCAAGTCATATAAATGCAAAGTTAAGAAGATTCAACAGTTTGAATTTTTGCCCTGGTACAGAAGCAGTAGACTGCTTCATGCAAGACTGGTATGGTTGTATAAATTACCTGTGCCCGCTTTTTGGCCAAATTCATCAAGCACTAGCACATGCAAAGGAGTGTGGCGCAATAATAGTAATCATTGTACCAGTTTGGGTAGCAGCTCCTTGGTGGCCGATGGTTTTAAGTGTAAAGAAGGAGGAAGTAGATTTGCCGTTGCCATTAGAAATAATTCAACCAGGCCCATCAGGCTTTTTGAAGCCATGCAACAACAGTTACTGGAAGCTGAGAGCGATCCGAATAGATTGGTCAAAAAGCTTTTAGAACATGCAGATTTCTTAGTTGAGAATGCTATTAGTGATACATATAGAAGAAGGTTGGTTAAAGCATGGAGTATGTTTGTGGAATTCACTAAAAGGGTTGGATGTGAATCTTGCCTGGCTTCAGTTACTGTGGTTGCAGCATATTTGGCCTGGTTGGAAATGTCTGGACGGAGTTCAGAGTTGGTAAGTTGCTTGGCAGCTATTGCAAGGGTGCATAAATTGAGAGATCTATATGACCCAACCAAGAGTAGTGTAGTGCAGGCAGTGGTCAGTGGAATTAAAAGAGCTGTTTCTAGGGATGCAGAGGCAAAGTGACCAAGAGACCCTTTGCCGGTGAATGCTGTGAAACAGTATTTGGATTCCCCCCCTCAAGGTGCTAGTTTTGAAATATGGATTCGTGATTTGGCACTTGTTACTCTGGGTTTGAGAACAATGAGACGCCTAGGGGAACTTTGTGAGTTAAAAGTGAAGGATTTAAGTTTAAAAGATGGGCTGCTTTGGATTAGGATAAATAGGTCCAAATAGACCAATTAGCTAAAGGGAAGTTTGTGCCTATTGAGCAAATGAATAGCAGATATTGTCCAGTTAGGAGGGTAGTAGAATATTTTAAAATCAGGCCAAAAACAGAGGATAATGCACCTTTTTTCCTGTCTAAAACAGGAAAAAAGATGACGGTCTCATCAGTCTCAGCAGTGGTTAAAAGGCTTGCCAACCATACTAATTTGCAAGATAAATTTACAGCTCATAGCTTAAGGATTGGAGGGGCCACTGCAGCTATGAGAGGTGGATTGACGATAGAGCAAATTCAAGCAATTGGTGGCTGGGTTTCAGAGGTCGCACGGCTTTATATGAGATCAGTAGGTACAGCGGAGTTAGGGGCATCAGCATTGATGGGGTTTGGTGATATCAGGTCATAGTTCGCTTTCAGAATTGTGATTTGTAGTTGTTTTGAGTTGTAGCATTTAATCGCAAATTGAATTTCTTTTGACGATACTCTGAAGAACCCATTTATGTTCTTCATGATAAATGTACTTGTAAATGAGAGACAAAACAAAATAGCTGCTCGATATGTAAGTATCAAGACAGCTTTTGTCTCGAATCTACTCACCTGATTGAACATGTGACAAGCCCGTTTACGGTCACATGTTCGATCGTTTAATCGATCCTAAGCATGTAGTGCTTATGTGTTCAGTGATATCAGTATGTTGCACACCGTGTGAAAAATCAGTCGTATAACATCAACGTTCTTACCTGTACCTCAAATGGTAAGTGACCTATCCTTTAAGTGTTGTAAATATATATATATATTTATATATTAATAGCGATAGTCTCTTATTCTAATGCAAAGATTTAAGATATCTGTATATAATTTTCAAATCGCGATTTGATTGAACCTAGGTGCCGCATAAAAAATGCGCGGCAGATCCTCGATTTTGATTAGCTAAGAGCGCGATCAAAAAATTAGGCCGGAATTACTCATAATATTACTAATGACATCTACAACTAGGGTTGAAAATTACATAAGCATAAATTTATATAAATTGTTAAGTGACTTTACGCTTACTTAAATTTATATCAAACAATTACATAATATTATTGTAATTTATGTAATGCTACGTAAATATATGGACCTTCGAAGTTTGTGATGTACACTTAGCAATAGGATGTTCAACACTTTAATAAATCAAACAATCCGTTCGAATTTTTTAAAGGTTGACTTCACATACGAATTCGCGCTGATTTAGGTACTTTTTTTTTTTTTTTTTTTTTTTTTTGTCTCTCATTTACGAGTACATTTATCATGAAGAACATAAATGGGTATAGCCCTTCTGCTATCGAGCAACCTACGCAGTTTCTCTGAGCATCGACTTTTTTTTTTTTTTTTTTTTTTTTTTTTTTTACTCAACTAAAATCACGTTGTCATGACGACAAGCTATACCTACACATGTGACTGTCGCCACAATTTTTGGGCTGCCGTCCCAGCAGGCCAATCAAAGCAACATTACATC